ATCTATTTTAATGTACTTTTAAAATGCTGGTGAAGAGTTATACTGCTGTTACAAAATTAAGTTGCCTTAATTCAGTGCATACTTAAAATTAAGACCATCTTGCTGAAATGACTCGGGTTTCTTCCCTGCAGCTATTATAAATCCTTGAAAATAAGGACTGCAGCATTTCAACTGAAGGAATTAGGAGGAGAGAAAAAAAAAAAAAAACAGGACATGAAACATTCCCTAAAACAAAAAGACAGGTAAGATTAAATGTTCAAATACTTCGCTGGCTATATTTGGAAGAGAAGCACAATTTTCTTATTTAATTTTTGGCTTCAAATGTAGGTACTGGCATGCACAATAATTTTTCTAAATATTTTTTAGCAACTCTAAACATCCAGTATCTGAAAGAGTTAACAATTAGAGCAGGCCAGGGACAAAAAAGGAAAGAAAGGAAAGTAAGGAGTTTGCCAGAGTGAAAAAGGTTGTGCATGGATTTTCCCTGGCACATACGCACCCCTAAAGTTGTGCTTAGAACAATCCCAAAAGTCACTACTTTGTAATCCATATGGAGTTTAGTAAAAAATTGTATCGCAGATTTAAATTCCTCTCATTGCACCAAACTATGATTTCAGCAAGATTTAAGAAATTTGCACAAAATATGTGACATTTAAAGATAGAATCAAAATTCGTCATGATGTTAATATCATGATAGGGTGAATTTCCTTCTTGCCAGTGTGCTTTAAAAAAAACCCCTCTACTATTAAAATCAGCAAATAAATGTTCATGTTTTCACAGGTAACTAAACTGTAATTTCTGAATAACTGAAGGAGAGGCGAGTTAATTATAGAAAGCTGTCAGTTAGCTAGAGATTTCCATGGGGAACACAAAGTTGTCATGGTAGCTCCTGGGGACAGCAGTACGGCTGAGGGTGCCTCTATGCTGATGGGTCACAAGTGACAGTTCTCTTATCTGCAAATTGCTCCCTATGAGCAGAAATGTTGATGTCTAAACTGAGTTTTCACCCTGTCTATTTGTACTCAACTGATGTTTACTTATCCTTTTAGATTTCAGGTTGTTCTCACGTGCCAAAGCAAACAAAACCAAAACTACCCAGAGGAATCATCTATTAAATCTCATTTCCCACTAGATCAGTGTGAACAAGGTTGTCAGGTCTTTTACTAGGTGAGAAGCAGCTGAGATTACCTCCCTATAGAGAAAGGGAAAACTGAGTTGGGTTTTGGATGGGTTCCTTCACACAGGAGCAGAAAGGAATCAGGGCGTAGGCACAGAGTGTGGGGGTGTGGGTAGGGGAGCGAAGAGGAGCACGTCTAGAAAGGTGACTTTTTGTTGTTTTAATTTTATTAATACATGTTCTCAGTACATAAGGGTTCCATTTATTGTGGGGAGTTGGCACATGGGCATGACACATCTTAATTCATTTTTCTGTCTCTTTTACCCCCTGCACCCTTTGCTCCATCTCATCTTTAAGTCCTCTTCAGATATTAACCCTGTGACAAAAAGGACAGGAAACGCCTGGGGACAAACTAAATCTTTTTAAAAATCCATCTCCTGCCAGGCTCAGGAAGATCTCTAAGAAAGACACAGTTCATTTAGTACTATAATAAATTTCAACTTTTGTTAGTTATAAAAGTAACATATGGCATTTGCCATATAGTATTTGTAGAGTACTGCATAGACACGTCCCACAGTCATAAAACCGAAGGGAGCTACCTCCTTACTGTCCCCTACAAGGTTAACATGCTTTGCTCAGCTTTTCTTGAAAGATCAAGGCTGTACTACATAATGCACAGGAGTTAGCTTCAGCAACTGGTAAAGTAGGTCTATACATAAAAAGCGAAGACCCACAGAAAAGCAGCATAAAACCACCAGAACAACTGACCATTAATTCACTCAGTAAAACTCACTCAGAAATTCTGAACAGCATTTTTAAAAAATTTTCTCTCATGCAACCCTGGAATAAAAATACCATTCAATTCAAAAGGAAGCCGACTGGTGATGAACAGTGAAAGCTTTAACAAAACATAAAGCACAGCACCCAGGACTGTTGCAACTGGAGACTACACAACACTACCTTGTACCACAGACATAAGAAAGTCTCAGGAAAACGGTGCTGTCTTGGTTCAAAAGTCACAGGAAAAAGGCTGAAGCAGTTCTTCAGCAGGATACTGCCACACGGGGCTGTAAGGTGCTTGCAAAGCAGCTGGCAGGCTCCACTGAGCTAGGGTGCAACCAGCTGAGAGCTGTTGCCAGGAGCAAAGCAAACAGGCCCCATGCTTGCAGTCTGTTCATTTTCGGGTGTGACTGGAGATGCTGGTTACAATCTCCTTGAAGCCTCAATTGCCCAGCTACTGCTCTCATTTCCCCTCCACTTCCGCTTCTGTCACCCTCCTGTTTTCAATCCCTATCACCTGCTTTCCATCCCTTTATCCAGCAGCTTGACCACTCTGGAGAATTACTAGTTACAACTTTCAAGCAATGCCTTCCAACACAAATATTATCCGAGGACCCACATGACTGACACTTCCCAGTAGTCATGCTGAAAAGGCAAAGAGCAGCAGAGAAATTATGATCTGAAATATTTTTATCATATCAATATGCAATCCATTTCCAAGTGATTAGTGTAGATGGGTTTGAGTCTTTAACACAGACCATGATAGTAAACCTGCCAGAGCTTCCAGTGTTAACAAAGAGCCAGTGGCACACATGCTATAGGTTCACCACCACTGACAGAGATCTTTGATATCTGCTGTGGACTTCACATTTATAGCATGCTCAGTTCAGACTAGCTGCAGTCCAGATACTCAGGAGCCACAGGTAGCTAGTGGCTACTGCAGTGGACAGTGAAAGCTCACAGGTTGGACATCTGTACGAGTACTTTGACTTTGGAGGTGACCTGTGCTTCAACTGACACTGAAACTGTTCAACAGATTACCTTAAAAAATGACAAAAATGTTAAATCAGAACTTTCAAGAATTTGTAAGAAATAGAACCACTGTGCTCAGAACACTGTGCTTGGAAAGGGGTTGGAAGGAATGAAGGTTGTTCAGTCCCATACACAGCATTATTGCTTCAAATAAATAAATGGCAAGAGTTTATGAATCTTCACCTTTCACACTGCTCATATAAAACTTATAATCCTGAGGAAAACAAACAAACAAAAAGACTCTTAGAAACCACAACTACTTAGAGGCTCCATTTGCAAATGGAAGTTCCATTTCTAAGTGGAATTACTATTCCTTAGGGCTTCAAAAAAGGGCGAATGTTCCAAAGACAGCCTCGATTCTCTGCAGTTTTATGACTGGTCTGTTCTGCCCAGACACAGACTAGTTGGCCTAGCCAAGTTTCACACAAACCCTATAATACCAGGATTTATCAGCTATAAAATAAGCAATGTTGCTCTCAAACAATAGCTGTGATATGAACACAATTCAAGTAAAATTACTTCCAGTTTTGGAACACAGAGATAGCAGGGAGACAGATATTGTTACAATGGAATATTTACACCTCATCTGCTTTATAGAAACCCATTCCTCTCTTCACTGTGTTACCTGGTATCTATGTTATCATTTGCCAATTCCTGTGGATTGATCTTGGAAATGTCTGGTCATGGACCTATTGTATCCATGATGCTTTCATCCTTAAAAAGTTAGGTTTTATTAACTTAGAGCCAAACCGTTATATCAATCTTCCTTTCTAGCTAGTGACTCTATCTCTGGACTCATCACCATCCTACAAAACATTTTCAAGTGGAGGGTTCCAGTGAGGTATCATGATTCCTTTCCAAACCTTTTCCATACATCTCTGGTGCAATACACTAAACATTCCAAAGTGTCCAAGATGTGGCCTCAAATCTCGTCAGTCTGATTTCCAACTGTACCCAATCTTCACATTTCCTCTCTTTGAAACAGGGATTATAAAGGTATCTATAACTAAGACTTCCAACTTCTATGAGTTTCAGGTTTTCCTCCCTTAGGATTTCCTCCTTTTAAATGAAAATCTCGGCCACTTTCCCATTTCTTTTCAGCTGCCACTTTTCTATATAGCTCTTGCAGATTAACTCAAAATAGAGTATCTGTGACTTCTAATATTATTTCCTTAGATATCCCTACTGTACAATTGCTAAACCTTTGTCATACTTGCAGCTACTGGAATGTAAGTTCTTCGAGGAGAAATCGCATCTTTTTTACATTGGAATCATTTCCACATGATTAATTATATAAATCACTAATTAGAATCTCTTATCTGAATGCAGTCCAGCTTTACGTCAGCCTTCACTTTGATCTTTCGACAATTCAGGAACTATTTTTTGTCAGACAAATAAAAACTTTTCCTAAAAAAATCCCTCAAGGAAAGTCAAAAAAAAAAAGCAGCTCTAAAAGTCCCTTCATCTATCAATAGTCAAGACTTTCATCCTGGCACAACCAAGGTCCCCAAATACATTTTTCACTCTCATCTAACCTGTCAAGCATCTAGATAAAATCAGGAATGTAAAACCAATGTGGGGTTAGAATTCAGATCCTCTGGCAGACACTAGATGGGACTGCGGCTGGTTAGTTACACGTCTCAGCTCTGCTTGTGAACGTAAAAGGATGGAGCAGACTAACATCTTGCTGTGTTTCACCACTACAAGAGAAATGAATTTCTGACTATACAAGTTCTTAGTTTCTACATTCTTCTCCCATCTCAAATCAAATTATGTGTTTTAAATTAGCATATTTATTTCCTATGGGGTCAAAGAAAGTTCAATAAAGCTCAAATAGCATGCTTCTGGGAACCACCATTATTACCACAGTAACAGACTATTTAGTCATTTCTACCTATCAAAACAGCAACAAAACATTTGCAATCTCTGTCTCATTCCCATCCTATTACTGGAATGATACGCTTGCATCTTCTATCCAGTGCGCTTTTCGTGTGCACGAATATGTGCACACACGCATATCATCTTGCCACAACTTACAAGCTGGCAAACATAAGCTTGAAACCAGCAAGCCAATGCCATTAAGCAAAGACAAGTCTTCAGCATGAAGCTTGACTCTAAACCTTGAGTAGCTACACACAACCAGAACAAAGCTAGGAGTCTGAAGGCAGTTCCCTGCTAGGATAAAAGTTGAGAGACTCCTTATCGCCAAGACCTGAGGTGTCTGTAATCCAAACTCTACCTGCCAAAGCCCTACGTAAAAGCCACTTTACCGTTGCCCGACGCCTACTACCGACTTCTCCTATTTCACAACAAGCAGCCGGGCAGAATTTTTCCAGCAACCGCGAATACTCAGAGTAGTGGAAGGGGATCCGGGGAGTTCCCCGGTGTGGCTAACATTTCAAGAGGAATGGAAAAATAACAACTTTCTAGTCCCCAACTCGCTCCCCCTTGAGAAAAAGGAGGCAGAGGGTCAGGTAAGCCACGGGCCCGCGGGGATAATGGATGTAATCCTCCAGGTGGCCAGGGCGATCCGGGTCGATCTACGGACACCTCCGGGGATCCACCGTCCCAGCTCCCTGGCCACCTCGGCCAGATCTCACGCACCCTGCCGAGCCGGGCCAGAAGGGACGGAGTGCGGGGAAGCGGAGCCCCCTCCCGCCCACCCGGACTCACGATCTTGAGCAGGTCCAGTCCGCTCGCCTGGTTCATGTCTGTCCATGTACCTCTCTCCCTGGCAGGGACGAGGTGGGCCGAGCCCAGCAGCCCCGAGACGCCTGCAGCGGGGACCCGCAGGTCTCCCCCGCCCCTTCCCACTTGCTTTGCCAAAGCAGAGAAAAATGGAAGCTAGAGGAGTTGGGGAGCCGCCGAGGGGCAGGGTCCGCGCGCCCGCAGAGGAGCGGCGGCGCGGCGCGGCAGGAGGAGGAGGTGGCCGCGGAGACGCGAGGGAGGAGGGAGGAGGGACCGCGAGGCCGGCCGGGGTGGCGGGAGAGCGCGGCTTGCCGACCGACCGACCGACCGACCGACCCGCCGACCGGCCGAGGGCGCCGCGCCGTCGCTACCTGTGCCCCGGGCGCCCCCGCGGGCGCCGCGCCCTCCAGCAGCTCCATCTGGATCTCCTGCGCCGCCGCCGCCGCCGCCGTGGGAGGCGACTTGGCCATGTCGCTCTGGACCATTGGCGGAAAGTCGGGGGGAGCAGCAGTGGCCCGGGGCGAGCCCCTTCCTCCTGCGTGGCCTCGCAGCGGACGCCCCGCAGCGGGCGCTCAGGGCGCGGGGCCACGCCGGGCCATGCCGTGGAGCCACGCGCGGGCGGCGGGGTGGCGGGGCCGGGACGCCGGTGCCTGCCTGCGGCCGGGCCGGCGACCGAGACGCGGAGTGCGGGCGCCCGCGCGAGGCTGGCCCGGAGGGAGGAGGCAGGGCCGGGAAGGGCTCCCGGGCAGGGGGAGGCGCGTCGCCAAGCGAGTGACAGCCGCCGCCGGCGCGCGGAAAAGTTCCTCGCGGGAGGCGCGCGCCGCGTGGGTCCCACCCGGCCGCCGCGCGTCTCCGTGGCACGCGCGCTGGAAAGTTTTCAAAGCCACAAGAGCCGGGCCCGGCGCCCGGGAGGTGGCTTCTTTTTCTCCGGCGGCGGAGCGCAGCTTCTAGTTCCCTCTGGAGGCGTCCCAGCGGGCGGGTGGGAAGGAAAAACAGGTCCTTAACTTCAGAGGGGACAACACGGGCTCCTCAATTCAGGCTCCCAGGGGTAAAGGCTTCCTGCAGCGCGGGTGGGCGTCTGCAAAGAACCTCCTGGGTCGTGGAAAGCATTTCCAAGGGTCACTAATGAGCCAGGGGCTGGTGAACTAAGGATTGTGATCCCGTCCGAGTCTGCTTCTTCAACCACATCCAATGGACCACTCCTGACTCCCAACGCTTCCTTTACTACTTCTGTCTTTGCTCGGTGACACTGCTTTACTCACAGAGTTGACTTCTTTCATATAGGGTTAGCAAGCTTCAGTATGCCATTTGGATCAAAGAAATACTTAAGATGCTGAACTCTTGATTAAATAGAGTGGCCACAGTTTAAAAAAAAAAGAGCTTCTCCTGGACTACTCCTTCGGACGTTCCTAAGACTCACTTTTATATGATAGGTTGCATTTCATTTTGATAAATGTTACAGTGAAGAATCTCTGCCCAATGCGATTTCCCAGTCATCCTTAGTATTTCACAATAGCAAAATGTAACAGGTGTGTATACTGAAATATACATGCAGAAGTTTACTGCGCTAGGATTCAACTATGGTGGGCATTTTACTGTGACAGTGTCACGAAGCACGGTTCTTGGAAACCCATCTCCACCATACACTGGTTTAACTCGTGTTTAAAACAAAAGTTTTGATGTGGTTAAAGAGTAGTGATATCCGAAGTGCCATTGGTTTTCTAATTTCAGTGTTAACGCTATTTTATTTACATTTTACTAAATTTATTTACTAAATGTAAATAAAATGTTAAATAGAAAGACTGAGTATGCATTGGCAATGATTTAAAAGCAGGGAGGGTGGCCCATTTCCAAAAGCAGTCAAGTATGGAGCTGAGAGGTTGTGGTTCAGGATGGGTGCAGGCCAAGTAGTAAAGGATAGGGACACTGTCTATGTCACAACCATGACCAGGAGCCTCCCCAGCACCTTGAAAGTTTGTTTTAGAAAAAAGGAAAGTTCTCGTTTATAACAGCAGGCAGTGATTGCAGTGCATTGTCTGTGCATGCATGTGAAAATGGAAGAAATCATATTGAAAGCTTTAGAGGTGAAGTCTACTTTAGCCCTATGCTTTGTTGAAAGTGCCACTCTTACAGCTCTGTTCCTCTAATCATTGTTTTCTTGATAGTATATTTAAACCTCAGTAATAACATCATCTGTCTATTAGACTGTGAGCTCTGTATAGTAGGAGGTGTGCTTCCAGGGCTTACCAAGAATCTGGCAAATGCCCTGAAAGCTCTACTACCTAAAAGCTCAATAGTTATTCAATAAAATATGAACCGATCTTCTATTTTATGCCACTGGATGAGCACAACCAGCAAAGACCAGGTCACTGCCCCTGTAAGGCTGAGGTTAACTGGTGAGCACTCAGGAGGTATGTAATCCACACTTGCTGAATGATGAATTCCAGTATGGTTTTAAAAAATTGGGGGTTTGATGAAATTTATTATTTCCCTCCTGGCATCCAGATAATTTCTTGTAATGTAATTATTTGTCCATTCTCTTTCAATTATGACCATTTGGGAGACAATTTTATCTTTCATGAGATTTTTAAAAAAGAGATCATAAAATATCGAAGCAACCTTGGAAACAATTTTTAATAATGCTTACAATTATAGCTAGAGAGCAAGTAAAGTTTGAATTAAATGTTCGAATAATATGGTATATTCACTTCATATAATTTATGACATCAAATTCTTGTTTTTAAATTAGTTCCCACCTAGACAGAGTTCTTAGAGAACAGCAATTGAGTTTTATTTATTTTAACACTAAGCATGATGTCTGGTATTTAGCTTGAACTTGAAAATATTTGTTGTATAAATCAATGAATGAAGCACGATGAACGGTCTATTTTTGTGTGCCTTAAACCATAGCACCCAGCTTTGGTAGTTTTAACATACAAAGACAACATTTGTCTAATATCTAATAACCCCCATGAGAACATTATATTAATTCATTCTCTATAACTCATGCTAATTGAGTTAGCACACTGAAACAATACAATGTATCCATTCAGAACCCTGTTTGCCTTATAAAAGGTTTCAAATAAAAACAAAAGTGTTGCTTCCTTAAAAGGAAGCAATGTCAGGATAAAAATAGAACACAAAGGCTTGGAGAACTGATCATTCCTGCCTTCCATCTTGGTCATTTTTCTTATTTTTAACATACTTTGTCATGTGCAGTGTTTAAAAGCCACAGATGAAAGTGAAAATTTGATAAGTAAAACCTAATCCCTTTAATGTTAAAAGTTACACAAATGGAAGAAACTCCAGTAATAATGGATGTACCATCGTCAGCAGAGGCATTCAAATACAGATGACTAATTTCTTCAAGCTGTATGTTAGCTTCCTGGTGCTTGTTAGTTGCTGTAAAAGACAGGCGTAATCTGGGCATTACTAATGTTCTGAAGTGAGAACACTGGTCAGGGCAGCCAGAAATGTTTTTAAAAGTTTTTTGTTTGTACATGGAAGACACCATAATTAGAATTCATTGTTTCTCTCTCACTTGCAGATTTGTGACTGCACCTTAAGACCTGGGGGGAGGAGATCTTTGGAGCAGATAGGCGTCCTGTGTGGTTTCTCACTTTACTTAGATCATTTTCACCTCAGTTCTGGGTTTTTGCCATTAATCACATCTGCATAAGATATATCAGCATCAGCTACCAGCCTGACTTTGTATGAGGCAATGCATGAAGTTTCACATCGGCTGTCTGTAAAAGTACCCTATTAAATGAATGCCCTGAATTGCAGAATATTTAAACATGTAACAGTGCAAGCAGATCCAGCATAAGAAGGAAGTGTGTTTATTTCTATGTATACAGTACAAGGTTAAAGTCAAAACATGCAAGTGGTCATGGAACACTTAATTTCATTTCAGTTCCCTAGAAAAGGCTTCATGGAAGTGAAATTTCACTTGTTTGGGTCTACCCACAAGTAACAGCTCTAGAAGATCTAATATTAGTATAGCACTTTTAGTTTATAGAGCATATTCATTATCTGTTTCTTATCCAAACCTTGTTCTGAATATAACACTTGATTCTTTTCCTACCTGAGGTGCTAGGGTTTGTGTTAAGGATTTATAGCTATTATCTTGTTTGTGAATTAAATATTACACACTGTTAGGGTTAAGTGAAACTTCAGGAGCAAATAAACCCTAAATATTTAGTGGTTTCCTTTGATGGAGAATAGGAGTTCCCCATTATAAGGGTCTCTGTTTCCTGCTGATATTTGGGAACAAAATCTTGAGTGACTATCTACTATAGTGACTTCCAGGGTGGTGTAATTACAATGTCACCATGGTTATTCCCATCTAGGTTCATTGGGAGGAGGAAAAGGACGATAGAACACAGGTGGTGGTAGATGGTGGGGTGTACCAGTTTGTATTGGAAAGGACCACTTCTCCTCCCTTTGTATTTTATTGGCTAGAATTCTATCTGATGCAAAAATCTGATAGACAACCTGAAAAATATGGTTCAATAGTATACTCTAAGAAGAAAAGAAGAGTGGATTTGAATAACTAGGAAAGAATGACTTAAGCCTGAATAGCTGACATTGGACAAAGGCAAAACTTCACCTGTGTTTTAAACCCCCACTTGAAGACTTCTTGACAGTAAACTACAGTTGTCTGTCTGCTGTGTTTTAAAAAGCCCTGCTACACAAATGAGGACTGAGTTGTTGGTTATAGAGACACATTTACATATTTCTTCTGCTTGTATCCTGAGATGACTACAGAATTATAGACATAGAACTG